CATCTTTGAATGTTTCCTTTCTCCTGCCCCAAAACACAAATTTCATGAGAGCAGGACCCTTTTCTATCTTATTTCACATTGCATGTTTAGTACCTGGGTAAAAACTAAGGCATAACAGGTACTTGATAGGTACTGTGTAGCACATGAAATAGAGATGTGTCGTCCACAATGACAGTGTATGTTTAGCAAATGGTGGAATATAACAAGGGTCTCTTCAAGCAGCCAGCAGCTCAATGGGTCAAATAAAGCCACCAGGAAAAAGAGTGATTATTTTCTGAAAAAAAATTAGTTTAAAGCTGGAATATAGTATTGTCCCAATAAAAAAGCAGTCTTTTGACATTAAAAGAAAAATCACAAGTTAAATCCCAGGTTCTCTGAACAACTGGGTAGTGGGAACAAAGATTTTTATGGATTATCGTAATTTTTTTTTTCTGAGAAATTTAAGAGCAAGTTGCAGACAGAATGTCTGGTCATTAAATACTTTACTGTGTATATCCCACACATAAAGACATTCCTGTAGAAAGCTACAATATAAACAAGCAGATCAGGCCATCATCATTGATCAAAACGTAACATAACCCATGGTTCTCACTCATTTTCTCCACATCATTTATTTTTCCTTTCTGGCCCGTGAGCCAGAAAGGAAAAGCTAGGGTCATTCTAGGGCCATTTGTTGTATTTAGTTGTTATTTCACATAGGTCTCTTCAAATGGGATATTAGTTTTTCTTTTGCATTCACGGACTTTGCCTCTTACCCTAGGTCTAACCAATGTTCCCTTATGGCGTGTGCAAAAGGCGAATGGTTGGTAGGGATAAGTCGGAGAGATGCTGTGGCCATCCCATCCAGATGAGATGCGATTTGTTCTATGAGTGGGAATATTAGCCACAGTAACCCAGTCAACTTGGTCTTCACTTCAACAAACTCATCATGTCACACTCAGCAAAATATGGATGGGATAAAGTTAAGCCTCCACCTGCAGCACCAGCATCCCAAATGGGTGCCAGCTTGAGTCATAGATGCTTCACTTCTGATCCAATTCCCTGCTAATAGCTTGAGAAAGCAGCAGAGGATGGTTAAAGCGCTTAGGACCCTTAGCCCACATGGGAGAGTTGGAGAAGCTCCTTATTTTGCTGCTGTGGCCATCTGAGGAGTGAACGAACAGATGAAATATCATTCATCTTTCATTTGACTCTGCCTTTAAAATAAATCTTTTAAAACTATGCATTTTTCAGAAAAAAACTTCAGGTCTAGGCTAACTCCTAATTACCATAAAAAACCCACATTCCAGGCTTAGTCTTAAATGGTGACTTCCTGTAAGCAAGACCTATAAATCCTCTCTTATTCTTGTTTCACCATTTATTATTATTTATTTTTTATTATTTTATTTTTAAAAGTTTTTTATTGAAAAGGCAGATTTAGAGAGAGAAGGAGAGACAGAGAGAAAGATCTTCCATCACTGGTTCACTCCCAAAGTGGCCACAATGGCTGCAGCAGAGCTGATCCAAAGCCAGGAGCCAAGAGTTTCTTCTGGGTCTCTCAGCTGGGTGTGTTGTGCCCAGATTTTGAGATTCCCAGAAATCACCAGGAGTCTGAAGTCGATTCAAGTGCACAAGGATGGTTTATTGAAGCTCAGCACATCCGAGCCTGGGTTCTTGGTTGAGAGCAGGCAGCTGGCTGACCGACACGCCAGCTGATCAGCTGGGACCAACACCCCTTACCGGGAGTCTGGTCCGGAACAGCACATTCATAGAGTTTTTATAGGGGTAGTGCACAATAGCTTGAAAAGGGGGAAATTCACAATAGTCTGCAAGGTGAGGGGAAATAGCACACATTCCCTACCTATCTCAGCTGGACAACCCATGCCTCCAGCAACTAATGTAAGCGCCCATCTAATTACTTGGAGCCACCTGTGAGCTAACCAGACTTAGGTGGGCCTTGATTCATAAGAATCGGAACCCATCAGTGCTAAAGGTCACATAGGCTGCTAAAGGTCACATAGGCCTTTTGGCCTGCAAGCTCATGCAGTTACTTAGCAGCAATGAGCCATGAACAAGCGCTTGGGATTTTAAAACTGACGTTCTTCATGGGGCAGTTGGGGCATTTATTGGCACCCATAGAGATCCTAGCTGATGCAAGGTGAGGATTTAGCCACCAAGCCATCGTGCCAGGCACCATCATTTCTTTTTAAACACATGATAAACAGTGACTATCATTGTGTTAGGCCCAAACTGCCCCTGACTTGCTTAGTGGGGGCCTCTTCCAGTTGGCCCATGTGTCGTTTTGATTAGAATCCCATGTGGCTTTCAGCACTTTCCTATTACAGGTTTGAGATGCACTTTGCACTTTTCCAGCCCCAGTCCTGGAAGCAGCCCTGGTTCCTAGAGGATGGGATTTAGAAATCGTGACCTTCTGGCCATTCTGACTACAAATGGGAAATACTATGCAGACAGATGTGCATACGACCATGCATGCACACACACAGATAGACACAGTTGTAAAAAGATGACTGCACACTCAACCTGGTTGTCATTTTTTCTTATCTTCCCAACGGTCCTGGAATTAAGCAATCTCCCCGTCATGATGCTGCCTCTGTAACCCCATCTCTTTTTCAACCTTTAACTTTTCCCAGAGATAGAAAGGATAGAAAATCGTATGTGCTCAGTGACAGAGCTTCCAACTGCTGAAACAGAAGAGGAAGAAAAGCTTGGGAAAGGACTGTGGTTTGGTAAAGGCATGTGTTAGAACTTTGCCAGGAGGTTGTAGTCAATGGGCCCCTCCCTCAGACCTCTGGTGGTTCAGGAATCAGCAGCCAGGCAGCCTCCTTAGCACGAGACTATAAAAAGCACTTCCCTCATTGCCTAGAAGTCTAGTTTCAAAAATGAACAAGCTAGGAACACACACAAATCCAGCCCATCAAATACCACAGGGAAAAATTCTCCTAAGTAGTTCCTCTTGTGTCTGCTTCTAATTTAGGCATCAGTGGGGGCTCTGCTTTCCTCTAATAGCCACCAGCTGCTCCTGATGGTGGCCGTCACTAACAGAAAAGTGGACACAAGTAAAGGTACTGGGGAAATGTGGATTTTTTTCCCCCTAAAGGTGAACTAGGCTGTGGATGCTCATCAAAGAGTCAGGTGAGAAGGACACGGCGCTCAATTGTGACATGCCCAACTGCAACATGAGCTGTGGCCCAGCCGCAAAGCCACAGCCTGCAATGCCAGCATCACATCTAGTTCAGGTCCCACAGCTCCACTGCAGGTCCAGCTCCCTGCTAATGGTGTGGGAAACGCCACAGAGGATGGCCCAAATGTTTGGGTCCCTGCTGCCACGTGGGAGACGTAGATGAAGACCCTGACTTCAGCTCTGGCTGTTGTAGGGAATGAACCACTGGCAGGAAGACCTCTTTCTCCACTTGTAATTCTGATTTTGAAATAAATGAATAAACAAAGAAACAAATACATCTTTGAGAGAGGAGAACTTACATACACACACACACACATTTTTTATGGCAGGGATCTCAAGTCAAGAGAGACAGAGGCAACCAGGATGCAAACACAGCAGTGTGTCAGTTTTAAGGCTGCCGCTCTGGGAATTCCGCACTCTGCTGAGTACCGGTAATCTCCACCCGTGTGTGGAGATCTCCGACGTGTGGAGAGCACATTTAGACAACAGTAACCCAAACAAACCTCCCTTGCCTGCGGACGCCTGGGCCCTGTTACCAGTCATGACAACTGGAATAAACATAGTGGAGAAACAGCTCTCACCCAGCTTCTCTGCTTACACAGCTAGGCAGCATCCCTCCCTGATGAAGAGAAATGCCACGCACTTGCCTCCAGATGGCAGAACGGGGGCCCATTCCCAGGGCTGCACTACAAGGAGTAGTTATGCTAGACCATTTGCCTCAGCACCACCTGAGAACCTGTTAGACATACAAGGCTGGAGGTCCCCACCCCAGATCCACTAACTCAGAAATACGAAGGAAGGGCCCATCAGGCCGGAATTTAAAACCGGCATTTGAGAACCGCTGCCCTCAGTGTTGCAGAAGCATCGGTCAACGTGTCTTCCACTTTGGCCCCGTGACGGGTAAAAAGGAAAGTCACCACTCGCCTTGAGCAAACGTGCGAGTTATTGAGACTTAACACGCTCTCTAGCATACCGGAGGATGTAAGGCGCAGGAAGCCGTTCCTGTACTCCCAGGTCAAGGGCTTCTGCAAACCCCACCTGGCCCAAGTGGCAGACTGGAGCAGAGTTAGAGACCCGGCAGGGGTCGCTGCTGCCCGCGAAGAGACGGAGGGAGCGAGGCGAACGGAGCCCCGAAGCTTTGACATCACGCTAAGCTCCTCCTTGCACGCACACATTCTACACACACACACAAACATACACAGACACACGCACACCCGGGCCGCGCGCTCGCCCCGCGCCCCGCGCCCCGCGCCCCGCAGGCCGCTACCTCGGCAAGAGTTTTCCTCACGCAGCCAACCCGGCCAGGCCGGCAGCGCCGCGACCGGAGCCCCGGGAACTCGCGCGCGCAGCGGTTTCCGCCGCCGCGTCTTGCAGCTTGACCCGCGCGCCCCTGCGCTCGGCGGCGGTCGGGACTCCCTGGGCAGCACCTCTGAGCGCCGGCAGCCGGGGTGGCCCTCGCCGGTGCTGGAGGGCGTGGGGCCGTCACCCCGCGCGCGCCCGCGCCCTGCTGCCAACCTTATGAGAGAAGGAGAGGCCGGGCGGAGGCGCAGGACGCTCGGCAGCCGGACTGCTCCCCAAGCCCCGAGCGCCCACTCCTCCCGCGCTCCCTGCACGGCCCGGGAGCTACATTCAAGCGCCGCCCTCCAGCTAAAAGGCGAAGGGGCCCGCGACAGCCGCTCGCCAGGAATCCGGAGCCCGCGGCGGCTGTGCGTCCCGGCCGCGGCTGCCGGAGCGGAGGAGTGAGCGGCGGCCGCGGCGCAGGGCGGCGATCCGCGCGGAGGCACGGGGCAGGGGGAGGGCGCGGGGGGCGGGGCGGGGGCGCCGCTGGAGAAAGATGGCAAGGTCTCTCATCCAAGCGTGCCGCAGTCTGGCTCTCTCAACATGGCTGCTTTCCTTTTGTTTCGTACATCTGCTCTGCCTGGACTTCACTGTGGCCGAGAAGGAGGAATGGTACACCGCCTTCGTGAACATCACCTACGCCGAGCCGGTACCGGACTCTGGGGCCGGGGCGGTAGGCAGTGGTGGCGGTGGTGGCGGCGGCAGCGGAGCCGGAGCCGAGCTGCACACGGAGAAGACCGAGTGCGGGCGCTACGGGGAGCACTCGCCCAAGCAGGACGCCCGTGGGGAGGTGGTCATGGCCAGCTCGGCCCACGACCGCCTGGCGTGCGACCCCAACACCAAGTTCGCGGCGCCAACGCACGGCAAGAACTGGATAGCCCTCATCCCCAAGGGCAACTGCACCTACAGAGATAAGATCCGGAACGCGTTCCTGCAGAACGCCTCCGCCGTGGTCATCTTCAACGTGGGCTCCAACACCAACGAGACCATCACCATGCCCCACGCAGGTGAGCCACAGGGTCGCGCGGTAGGAGAGGAGCCTGAGCGGGTTGGAGGCGCACGGAGGGGGGTCGTGCGCCTGTCTCCCGGAACCTTTCTGGGAAGTCCAGGCAGTGTAGAGGACGCCTCTGGGTGCTCAGCACCTATGAAGTTTTGATCTGCGTCTCTTGAGGTTTGCATTGGGGTGAAGAGGGGGTTACAAAGAGGATTAATTGTGAGAGGGAGATGTCAGCAACCTTGGCACAGAGAATCCAGGACAGGGATTTGCCAAGGTGGACTAACTTTTTTCGGGAGGCTTTGCAAGAGAGACAGGAGCTACAGCACAGGCTCGGACACTGTTCTTGGTGACTGGCGGCGCACCTGTTTGGAGCCGGTAGATCTGATAAGTCAGCTCTGTGCTCTGTGTGTGCATCAGGTGTACCCCTGATGCTGTGTCGTTTGTGTTATCAGCGTGTAGGTAGGGTTACCTGCTCACTGAGCATGATCAAGAACTTGGTGCTTCAAGTCAGGTTTCAACTCTTTCTGGAAGATTGAGTGCTCCACCTCCCATCCCCCCACCTCGGCCCTGGGTTTAGGCACACACACACCAACACTGTAATATTAAAAGCACCGGCTCCAACCGGCTGCCATCCAGAGAAGCTAAACCCAAGGCCTGATGGTAAATAATCCCAGCCCTCCAGGAAGCTGAGAAGAGTGAAGTGGTGATCAAGTGACAACTGCTTTTCTTGATTTGCATTAATCCTTTGCCTGATTGATACGTTAAAAAATAAGAAAGACTTGCTTTCTGGCCAGAAGGGGCACTTTCCAAATAGAGTGTGTTTTTCTTGGTTGTCTCAGGTACCAGGACTGGAAGTACATCGGTATCCCCAAGCTCAGCTCAGTAGTACATGTCTGACTTAGGCAACACATTCTTGGTGGGGATGATAACAAAAAGCCATCTCAACGTGGCCATGGACCAGCAGCTTCAGGTGGACTTGTCCTCCCGAGGTCAGGTCCATTGCTTGTATCAGTGTACGTGAGGGGATAAAACTCAGATGCTTTTTTTATTTTTCCTAGTAGAGTTGGCTATCGAAAAACATTACTTTCTTTAAAAGACAGATTTTTAATAAACAGGCTACTGAAATGGGACACTAAGCTGTGGCCGCATTGGCAGGGATGTTTCTTCGGGGCCAAGTTTCCATTCCAAGAGCTCCTGTAGCCTATTAGTGAGATACACAGTCGGGGTGCCTCTAGTAACGAACACCAGCTGTGTTAGGGAATTTTGTCAACCTTAACACAAACGGGTGAGAAGGGGAGGTGTTCGGCACTGAAAAAATACAAGCCAGAAAAATGCAGTGTGCTAATTAATGAGGAGGAGGAGGAGGAGGAGAGGCTCATAACTTCATAGAAAAGTTAGGATGCAGCACTTGAAAAACATTCAGTGTGAGTTTCCGGAGCTCAGCCATTTCTAAGGGAGAAGATTGGGCTCTGACCTGGAGTCATGAGAGCCCAGCTGAAGCTTTGATATTCAAAGAGTGTTAAGGTTAAGTCAGGTAAAATATCATTCAGTAAATATGTTGTTTAGTATCTAGCAATAGAGCATGAATGAGGGTTTTGTTGTTGTTTTGTTTTATGCCTGTGAAACTCCAAGGAGTTTGCTAGCTGACTTTAGAGGATTTTTAAAAAATGTTGCTTGATGCATAGCGCATGCAGTCCCTCAGCTGAGCGTCTTTGATGTGAGGTACGAAGCAGCATTTGTTCCTGCCTAAAAAGCTTTTCCAGAACGCAGACTCTTTGGATCAATGAATAGATTGCCTGTTTTTTGAGGAGAGCAATCATCTGATTTTCTGCTGAAACAGTGCTTGTTTCAGACATAGTGAGAGTCAAGGTCTTCGTCATAGTTTGAACGGTAAAGACTGAAAATGGTAAAGTCTTTAGGATTTGTTCTTGGTTTCCATGAGTGTATAAATGCTGTATCTGCTATCAGCCACAGAGCTTCTTGCTATTTGGAGGATTTTATTGTGTTTAACAGGACCTGTGTTCACTTCAGGTTCACACATAAGCAGACACATGTTGGGGTGTTCTGGCCAACCCTACACTTGAGTCTCAAGTTCTCGTGCCTGACAGCGCGGGCACTGGCCTGCCTGACCAGGTCTTCACTTCAGCTCCAGCACTTGAGGCTGTTCTTTCTCCAGGGAAGTCTGAGTCATGCTTCCAACTTCGCCTTAGGAAACTGTACACATTAGCTGCTAATGAAATATTCTTATTTTGTCATTTGGGAATGCCACATCTCAGAGGACCCATCTATTTATATACTTTTTAATCTCCAAAAGGCTTTTTATTTCTTATTTATTTTAGTATAAGAGCTGATGTTATATCTCTCAACCTGTACATTCTTTTTTTTAAAAAAGGGTTTATTTATTTTTATTACAAAGTCAGATATACAGAGAGGAGGAGAGGCAGAGAGGAAGATCTTCTGTCCAGTGATTCACTCCCCAAGAGACTGCAACGGCCGATGCTATGCCATTCTGAAGCCGGGAACCAGAAACTTCCTCCAGGTATCCCACATGGGTGCAGGATCCCAAAGCTTTGGGCTGTCCTCGAGTGCTTTCCCAGGCCACAAGCAGGGAGCTGGATGGGAAGTGGAGCTGCCGGGATTAGAACTGGCACTCATATGGGATCCTGGGCATGCAAGGCGAGGACATTAGCTGCTAGGCCACGCTGCCGAGCCCTCAACCTGTACATTCTGGTATTCTTGTTTGGAACTGATACCTTTCAGGTAAAAAGATGATCTTCAGGGTTCTGCCACCTTGTATCTGTGCACTGCACATGATGTAATCCAGCCAAGCTAATATCTTGATGTTAATTAAATAGAAAGAATTTTCTATTCTCTTTGTCATAACCTTTTCTGATTCTTTTTTCTTGGGCTCTGCAAAAAAAATGATTTGGGATTTCTGTTACTTCTACAGTTTTAATTTTGCATTCACAAAAGCACGGATTCTTCTGGGATAAACTAGTAGTTTTACTTTATTAATAAAGTTGCCCCTACAATGTAAAAGCTTTGTGAGATACTGGACATGCTCTACAGTTTACTAATATGACTGTAGTAACTTTTGACTACCTTATACAAGCCCCACCATTGTCTAACACTAAAGAGAAAAAACCCGTAGTTACTTCCCAGTTATTTCCCAAACCCCAACACTAGAGAAACACTAATGTGATTTCTGACTCCGTAGATTTGCCTCATCCCCACATTTCCTATAACTAACTATGTACTTTTTAGACTTCTGTGATTCCTCCATTGCTTAATGTTTTTAAGGGTCATCAAAGTTGTAAACTTTATCCCTGCCTACTGCCAAATAATCTGTTATGTAGACATACTACATTTTACTTACAAGTTCGTCGGTTGATTTAGGATGTTTCTGCTTTTTGGTGTGGATAATACTGCTATGAATATTCATGTACAGATATTTGGGAATATTTCTCTTGGATATGTACCTAGGAGTAGACTTTCTGCGTCCTATGGCAACCTTGTGGTTGAACCTTTTGAAGACCTGAGAAACTTCCAACACAGCTCCACTGCTTTCACATTCTTGCAAGCAACAGTGTGAGGGGTCTGGTTTTTTCCATATCCTCAGCAACTTACAGTTAGTTATCTTTCTTATTTTAACCATTGCAATGGTATAGTTTTAACTTACATTTCCCTGATGACTACTAGTTACTTTCTAGTGTGCTCCTAATTCTTTTCACCTGTGTATCTTTCCAACTCATACATCCTTTGTTCTAGGAAAGACAGGCAGGAGGTGGGAGTGGTAAGAGAGTGGAAAACAGAGTATGATGAGGGAAGGAAAGTTAACAAGGAAAGAAAAGGAGAGGAGAGGAGGGAAAGAGAGAGGGAGAGGTAGGGAAGAGGGGGAATGCTGATAGACCAGAAAATGTTTGCCTCCTATAAAGTGATGGAAGTTATTACATCTTTTTTTTTTAAGATCTACTTATTCTTTATTGCAAAGTCAGATATATACAAGATATATACACAAGAGAGAAAGATCTTTCATCCAAGGATTTACTCCCCAAGTGACTGCAACAGCCAGTGCTGTGCTGATCCAAAGCCAGGAGCCAGGAAACTCTTCTTGGTCTCTCACCTGGATGCAGGGTCCCAAGGCTTTGGGCTGTCCTCGACTGCTTTCCCAGGCCACAAGCAGGGAGCTGGATGGGAAGTGGAGCTGCCAGGATTAGAACTGGCTCCCTTATGGGGTCCCGGCGTATGCAAGGCAAGGACTTTAGCCACTAGGCTACCGCAATGGGCCCTGGAGTCCACTGTTACAGCATTCGCCTACAAGGGAAGCAGCCCCTGCAAATTTCTTGTTTTCACCTGTTACCTTGAAGCAGTCTAGAATATACAGATATTCAAGGGGTCTTCAAACAGTTCATGTAAAATATGTACCATTGAACCTAACCATGCGGACGCGGTATGGTAGCCTTTCGACTAAAGTCCTTGCATTACACGCACTGGGATCCCACATAGATGCCAGTTCATGTCCCAGTGGCTCCATTTCCCTTCCAGCTCCCTGCTGCTGACCTGGAAAAGCAGTGAAGGATGGCCCAAAGCCTTGAGATGCTGCACCCATGTGGGAGACCCAGAAGAAGCTCCTGGTTTCTGGCTTTGGATCGGCTCAGCTCTGGCCATCATAGCTGCTGGGGGAGAGAATCAGCAGATGGAAGATCTTTCTCTGTGTCTCTCCTCCTCTCTGTATTTCTGACTTCCCAATATTATAAATAAATCTTTAAAAAAAAAAAGAAAAGAATCATGTATGGATTTCCCATCTTTTGCATACAAATGACATTTTACTCTTTTTCTCCATTTTCCTCTAAACTTGTTGAAATGCCCTAGTATTCTCTCTGGAATTCCTCCTTTTCCAAAGTTTGAGCTGTTCTCCACAGTTACCACAGCCATCTTGCCCTGCCTCCACTCTTAAGCTGCTGTTAGGAATCCACAAACACAGAGATTCCTCCTCGGGAGCTGGATGTC